TCAAGCCAAAATACGGGAATGAGAATTAGGGTACCAAAATACGTGAGTCGGAACTCCCAATTCCGACTAGGGATTAGGCTTAGAATTTCGAATGGACCTCCTCCTCCTGTCGGATATGCCACTTCCGACAAGGGGGTTTCTTTAATTTTTTATTTTTAAATTCCTGGTGCAATTATTACTTCTCAATAAAGTTTTTTTAAAATAAAGTTTTTTCAATTAAAGTAATTCCTATCGGAATTGTTAATTACGAATGTAAAAGTTTTTTTTTTTAAATTCGTGTCATATTTTTTAAAATGAAAATTATGCATTTTGATTTTTTGAGTTACAAAACATTGATTCATTTATTTTATTTTTTAACCCATGCATATCGTGAATTAAATTAATAAAATAAAATACAAATTTGATTTTGTTTGAAATGCAATTTTTGTAATTTTAATGGAAGTGAACAAAACAAATGTAGTGATGGTACCATGGATTAAGACCATGGCGCAATTACGTAGTCCAGCCCATAAACGGGATCGGCCCTCGACGGGACCAGCCTAATTACAGGATTAGCCCATAAACAGGATTAGGCCCGCAAAATAGTTCTCACTTTTCTTTGAAAAATTGTTCTCATTTCTTTTTTTGAAAAGTTTTGTGTGGCTAACATTCATTTCATTACAGAAAAACATGGAATTGACAGATACTTTTGGAAGGAATTCCCCAAAATTGAGGATTAGTTAGCATTCCGACATTAATTATTACTAGAAACGATCAACGAACCGATGGTTAATCGTTGATGGTTTCACAAGTAAGTAACTTCGGTTTATTAATTCACGGTCGTGATTAATAAACTTAAGAGGGATTATTTTTGTTGGTTACACCGAAACCGTTGTGTTGAGGTTTTCAATCTCAATTGATTTCATCAAGGAGTTAAAGAGATTAAATGCTACTATTATATCAGTATACAGCGTTGTTCTATATTTGATTAAAAGTAAGGGTTATTAATGAACGATCGTTGTTAATACCTACGTTTTATTTATTAATATAAAAAATAATTTTTAAATTTGTTTTATTGTAAATTTTCAAAATCTAATTTTTTAAATTTTTTTACTGATACAAAATTATATATATTAATGTTCAAAGTTGTGTCTCGACAAGTATAAAATGTTGACCGTTGCGTTTATTTAAGAACAGAAGAATGAGTTCTGCCTATTGCCAAATTATGGGCTAATTCTGTAATTAGGCTAGTCCCGTCGAGGGCCGATCCCGTTTATGGGCGAATCCTGTAATTAGGCCGGTCCCGTCGAGGGCCGATCCCGTTTATGGGCTAATCCTGTAATTAGGCTGGTCCCGTCGAGGGCCAATCCCGTTTATGGGCTGGACTACGTAATTGGGTCATGGTCTTAATCCATGGTACCATCACTACATTTGTTTTGTTCACTTCCATTAAAATTACAAAAATTGCATTTGAAACAAAATCAAATTTGTATTTTATTTTATTAATTTAATTCACGATATGCATGGGTTAAAAAATAAAATAAATGAATCAATGTTTTGTAACTCAAAAAATTAAAATGCCTAATTTTCATTTTAAAAAATATGACACGAATTTAAAAAAAAAAACTTTTACATTCGTAATTAACAATTCCGATAGGAATTACAAACTTTATTTTAAAAAACTTTATTTTAAAAAAACTTTATTGAGAAGTAATAATTGCACCAGGAATTTAAAAATAAAAAATTAAACAAACTCCCTTGTCGGAAGTGGCATATCCGACTGGAGTGGGACAAATATCTTTTCAAAACTCCTACCTCTGGTCGGAAGACCGAATTCCGACTCCCGCTTTTTTAAAAAACCCGTATTTTGGCAACACATGCTGATAATTCCCGTATTTTGGTAAAACACCCCATAATTGGTGCATATTGTATTTATATTAATGCTACAATAATATAAAATTCATTACTTATGCAATAAGTTCTATTTTAAAAAGTCATATCTAAATGATGAATAGTTTAGTTTTAATGTCAACTAGCATATATTTATAGTTTGAATTCACTTCACATTATCTGAATATTATTTAGCTAGTGTCTATGGTAATTTAACGTGACTTGATATTTTACAAAATCAAGTACTTTCTATTTATCAGATATAAATTAAACTTAACAAAAATAAGACTCTTTAACTTTTTTTGTAGGATAGTTAAGTGTCATATGTCTTAAATCAACGAAATTTTCTACTATTTATCTATCCTTGATATTAATAGCATGATTGATTTTCAGGAAGAAAAAACTAAACTTAACTAAAATAATCTAAATTATTTTAGTTTTTTTTTCCTTTGAAAACTCTTATCTAAGTACTACTCCCCCCTCCCGAAATAATTGTCTTGTCGGTTTTAGCACAAGTATTAAGAAAGTGGTTGAAAAGGTAAAAGTTGTGATTGAGATTTGAATAGAAAAAAGTAAATTAATATGATCCACATATTATTGCCAGGCCAAAAGAAGAAAGAAGACATTTTTTGGGACATCCCAAAAAGGAAAACAAGACAAGTATTTCGGGATGGAGGAAGTGCGTATTATACTAGGGTTGGACATACCGGTTTTCGGTTCGGTTTTTATCAGTTTCGGTTCGGTTTGGTTTGGAACGGGTTGGAAGAATTATTACCAAACAAAAACCATACTATTTTTCGGTTTAGTTCGGTTCGGTTTAGTTCAGTTTGGTTCGCTTTGGATTTGTTAATTTTTAATAATATATAGTTTTTTTTATTTCTTTAGTTCGGTTTGGTTTTGTTCGGTTTTTATCGGTTTCGGTTCGGTTTGATACGGTTTGGAAGAAATAATACCAAACTCAAATCAAATTGCATACGGTCCGGTTTCGATTCGGTTTAGTTCGGTTTGGTACGGTTCGGTTAAATCAAACCATTATGTCCACCCCTATATTATACTATATATATATATAGAGGGGTATTATATTATACGGAGTACTGGTATAACACTAAAGCAATTTTGAAAATAAAAAATTAATCCCTAATTCTTCTACCCCATTATATTTCTGTTTAAAAAATGAGTAAATCATGCCCTATTGCCTCACGAATGGATTTGATTCAATGGAGCCATGAAAAAAGTAGTAGACAAGGAAGTGTGAAATTCACTCACTTTTGTGGGCATAGCATCATTGATAGGAATGTTTTCCTACAAAGTTGTTTTTAAATGCTATTGTTCAGTAATGTTCACCACTTATATATTTCACCTAATTAAACTCGAATATACTTGATTCAAGACCAGCCCAATCTGTTGGCTAGAGGCAGTATCACGGCTAATGCATGGCGGTGTGGCAATTTTGATTCAGCCCTACCAGTTTATGCGTTTGAATGCATATATATATCATGGTTTGATAATTAACTTCTTCATTCAATAGTACACAGATAAACCTCAAAGAAATTTTATACATGTTGTAATGTATGTGTACTTTCTAGTTTTTCAATAAATAACAAAGTTTTCAATGCATAAAAACACAAATACTAAATATAAATGCATATAAAATACAATTGAATCAGGTTTTTAATTAACTAATAGATTGTAAAATGATGAAAAATACTACTTGAGGATATTTTTGGTACTTTCATTTTTTGGGATGTTTTAAAAACATTTTAGTTTTAATAAAAGCTAAGCTTTGTGTAGTTAACACGGAGTTAAGTAGTTAAAATCGCTACTCAGTAGCAACTCGGTCAAGGGACGAGCAGGGAGTAGGACCTAGTACTTAGGATTTCTCAGTGACTACTCGGTCCTGTATTAATTAATTTAAAAAATATAAATATCCATAATGATAGTAATATATTATTAGTCTTATAATTCTTAGATATAAAAAAACCTAATGAAGAAGAAATGAGAAAGAATTGAAGATAGAGCCACGGGGGATATTAACTTACCTAGAGATGTTGAGGAGCCATGTATGAAACACTTTTAAACCTAGACTTTTTAAGGTTTATTTTCAAATTTTAAAATACCCACTCGTTATTAATAAATTCCATAATATCCCTCTTTAATTAAAACTTTTTCAAATTTAACAAAAAAAAATTATGCTTGGCCGAGTAACTTGCCGAATTGAGAACTTCCCCGAGTTGAGAAACTTGCCGAGTACTAGGAAAGTAACTCGAAAATAATATACGGACCGAGTCAAGTAGCTAATCGGCAAGGACACCACCCGAGTTGAGAGAACCCGCGCGCACAGTACTCATCGAGTAGATAACCCAGATACGGAGTATCATTTTTTCCTTTTTACATGAATTACAACCAAATAATTCTATTTTAGAAAAGCATGTGAAGTCAAAGGGAAACAAAAATTAGGGACTAAAGGACGGGATAACTTAACTATATGGTCCTAGTTCAAATAAGATGTCATTTGAAAAAATACTTAAGTGCTTTTCGGACAGGTTTACTTATACTTATTTCATCTCGTGATCCCACTAGACTGGATCTGACTAAAATAGATTACACCTGCCTAACTAAAAGAAATCAAATAGGATCAGACAGATCGACTCTCACAAGATTTACATAATAATAATGTACTACATAAGATATTGTTTAAAGTAGGAGTAAAACATGAACAAAAGCAAAAAATAAGATTGATTGTGTTTTATTCCCAAAATAGCTTATTTAGGACTATTAAAAGAACAAATTAAAACTTTCCAAAATAATAGTGAATGCGTCTTATTTTAAGGGACCCGATAATAATCCCATTACTTCGAGAAATTTTCTTATTCAAACTAGACCAGACACGACTTCGAGACTAGATCAAACACAACTTGGAGAATAGATTAGATAGATCAAATCGATAATCGATCTTTTTGTCTAAATGAACTTTTTGCAATTTCCAACCCCCACACACCAAGTGGATGTCTTTTTCTTCCACTTAATTAGGACTAATGTTTTAGAGCTCATCATAGGTTATGTTGTTGGTTCAATTTGAGGGCTATATATCACACATGCTTTCACACAAGTCCGCTCGTTCTATATTTTCAACTCATTCACTATAGTTGAGGAGATTGGATCCTTGATCTATAGAATAGTGCTTAGCTTTATTTATCCCGGCTTTTCTTTAGTTTCAATTCATTTTCATGGAGGCCATGGAATGCTGTGTTCCTCCAGGTTTCAGATTCCATCCAACTGAGGAAGAGCTCGTTGGTTACTACCTCAATAGGAAGGTTAACTCCTTGAAGATTGATTTAGATGTAATTACTGATGTTGATCTCTACAGAATTGAGCCGTGGGACATTCAAGGTAAACTTGGTTTAATTTCAAAGTTTTTAGTCTTTACATATTCAATTAATTTCTTCTCATTCTCCATCTGATCTTTTAATTCTAAAATTTTCTTTATTGTTATCAGCAACTTATGTTATAAATCTAGCTCCAAGTTAAATTGAAAAAAAAGAAAATGATTACATGCATTTTTGAGCACTGACTTCCATGGTCATACTTTTGATATGTGATCAAGTATCTTGAACCTTTTACACATATACTATCTATTAAGCTTTCTTTGTCTTTATACAACAATAAAGATGAGCTAATAAAAACGAAATTGAACCAACAAATCAAATAAACTTACATATTCTGATTCAATCATTTATGTTCCTCAACAATAGAGCCTAATTATATCTTGGATGGGAAGTATTAAGATTTGTAGTTGGGAAAACTATCAAATAAGCCCTCGTACTATGTCGAAAAAGTCGATTAGGCCCTCGTACTTTACAAACACTCAATTAATTCCTCGAACTATTAAAAAACGTTCAATTAAGCCCTTTTGGTTGGTAAGTAACCGGTTTCCCGGTTAAACGGCGACGACGGCGACGATGTGCTCGAATCCCAGCAACGGCGGCTGTCGGGAAACGGGTTACATTTAACTGGGAAACCGGTTACTTACTGACCGAAAGGGCTTAATTGAACGTTTTTTAATAGTTTGAGGACTTAATTGAGTGTTTGTAAAGTATGAGGGCCTACTCGACTTTTTCGGTATAGTACGGGGGCTTATTTGATAGTTTTGCCTTTGTAGTTTAACTTTAAAAAGTCAATTTGATCGGAGAGTAACGTACTATACCCAAAGTCTTATATTTTCGTTTGCACTGATATTTGATCATATGATGATTTAAAGTACAACACAAGATGAGAAAACATATCTTCAAGCTTGTGTGCTTCTGGTTGAGGCTTACCGGGTGTTGCAATCTAATTCAACATGATGCCACATAGAGATCTAGGGTTTCATTTTGGATTAATTGCAAATTTTAGTCAATATATACAAGTATGAAAAACAATGAGTAGGGAATAAGTTATATCATAAAAACAAGGCTTGTGATTTTAAATATATCAATTAAGTATATATATAAAGATGTAAACTATAAATAAATCTCCAGCACTGAATTGTTACTTATTCTATATAGAACTATGTTGATCTTTTGATAATAGTATCAATTCAACTCAGATCAAATGAGAAACGTATAAATAGTATCTCAACTATTGTTATTGATGCATTCGTCGTTTATTAATTCGCAACTATTTACGAGTGCAGAAAAATGCAAATTTGGATATGAAGAGCAGAAGGAGTGGTACTTCTTCAGCCACAAAGACAGGAAGTATCCAACAGGTAGCCGGACGAACCGGGCGACGGTGGCCGGATTTTGGAAGGCGACCGGAAGGGACAAGGCGGTGCTTTCAAAAGACAAGATGATAGGAATGAGGAAGACACTTGTTTTTTACAAAGGCAGAGCTCCCAATGGCAACAAAACTCACTGGATCATGCACGAATATCGTCTTCAATCTTCTCTTCATGCACCTACCCAGGCATGCTCCATTATCTCCACTTTTTCCTTTATTTTATTGTTTAGATTGAATAGTTTTTTTTATAATATTAAATTAAATAGTTATATACCACTTATCTTTAATCATTCTATTAATTAATATTCTACTCAGTAATAATTTTCATGTATAATTACAGAATTACTGGAGTGGGCATAATTAAGCATGCAATATTAACTTGAGTAAAAAGTCTGAATGAACATGATTACATCTATCCCCAAGCTTATCAAGTCATCTTTATTTCTCAATTTTTAAAAAGAACATACATTTTCTACCATATGTTTAACTTTCAGTTTGACTTTCCCTTTAAAATTCATTACTCATGAATTTCAAGACTTCTTATAAATATGATACGTAGTAATACGTATTATGTTACAAAACTTACAATGTGACCATATGTATATTCTTGGCTAATTTGCTAAATTTACTTTTTTATGTTAATTTCTAGTTCCTGCAAATATAGTGTTGTTTTTGCTCCGTGCAAAAAAATTATTCTAGTATTATCATTTTGGTCCTTTTCTAACAACCTTTGTCTAAAAATATTAAATTGATTATTGATATGACTAATTTAACAAGGTTTATGACATGTTTTTTCATTTCATTTGGTTGGGAAATTATTTTAGTTTTATTCAGAGAGATCCTTTTAAAAGTATAAAATATTAGATTTATTTAATTTTAAATCCACAAATACACTCCAAAAAAATATAAATAGTTGACGTGGAAACTTTAAAGAGGAATTATGCCGCTAATGTTAGTTCTTCTCAAAATAATAATCAAGAAAGTTAGGTAGAGACTCAAAATCGAAAAAAGTAACATATACTCCGTATGAAGTATTAGACGAGGATAAAAAAACAAAAACAAATAATTTACATTCGTTGAACTGTTGAAATCAAGTGGTTCTATTTGGAGGGACTAAAACATCTTTAAATTTGTATTTTATCACAAGTTCTATTATTGTGTTAAATAAATAAAAATACTTGTGGTTACATAATATATGAGAGTTGGAACTCATTACAATTAAGGGTATGTTTGGCACAATAAGATAAAAAAATATTTTGTAAGTTTCTTAGTAATTGTTAGATTTTGGTGATTTAAATTTTTTAAAAAAAATTGTAGTTATTTTATAAAAATTATTACTGTTTGATATAACATACTATTGTGAGTTGTGACTAATTAATGCTAAAAAGTAAAAATTATAGACTTTCTTTCGGAAGTTATTCAGTGCAGATTCGTAGAAAATATCTTTTATAAAAAAAAACTCTTACGTATTATTGTGTCAAACATACAACTACAAGCTTGTAGAGATTTTTTAAATATTATAAAAACTGAAAGGTAAGAACATATGTCTATCAAATATTTTTATGCATTATACCACATCTATCTTACCAAACTTTGATTGTACTCAAATTTGATTACATTTACCAACCCTATTTGGAAACTGAATTATGTGATAATAAAAATGAGTAAGATTAATGGTATTTTTATTGAGTTGACTAAAATTATTGAATTGAATATAACTATTGATGGATAATCTACCCGGGGGTATCTTATCCGAGGGGTTATTGCGGGAATAATTTAGAGAGAAGTCAGAGCAAAATAGGAGGAGAGAGAGTCGATTTTATTCAATGAACTCGAGATGTGTTGTTGGGATGTGACGCGGCATTTAATGCGGTGGTTGCTTGTCTCAAGAGGAAGCTTCGCAGATCTCCAGGACCCGCGGCTAGTGGTGTGTGGCCGAGGGGTGTTAGGTAGACGAGGGCACCCAGTGGGTGCCGAGGGCTCCTGGTAGCCGAGGGCTGCTTTTGCGTCGTTTTCTCCCAGTGACCTCGCGAGCTCGTTTCTGGACGCCTGGCGTGATTTGGAGCCCTCGGCCAAGGAGACCGAGGGCAGCCCAGTGTGTGTTTTGGGCCCTTTTGTTACTTGGGCCGCCATATTTGGGCCTGGTGTGCTCCTTGGGCTGGTTGGGCCTGAGTTGGAGATCAAGGAGTCTGTGGGCCGGGGGTTCCCGGGCCATATACTCCATCAACTATTTTAACAAAAATAAGTAAGATTGAAGCTATATATTTTAACAACATAACAACATTTAGAATTACCAAAACTACACTAATAATGTCATCGAATTTAATTTTTAATGAAAATTGATCAATCCTCTCATTTTGAAACAATGAATGTGTAGATGCATTTACATTAAGAGGGTTGATCATTCGAAGAAAATTCAGTTCGCATACTGTATTCCTGGTCATGCGGTGTAAATTGTACATCCGATGACATTAGGGTGAAAATAGAAGATAACAATTTGAGTGAAAATTGTGGTTTCTCCTATTTGAGCAATAGTGTATTGTTATTTAGCATCATGCATATTCTATTGAGTATTAAAAGTTTAGCAATGAGCATCGTGATCTCTGCTTGATATCTTCCAATTCATTTTCTTCTTCTTATATTTTGTTTTATTAAAATTTCTTGAACTATATCTATAATCAACTCCTATAAGTTTCAATATATGAATCTAATGTAATATGATACTTTTCAAATATGCATTGATACGATATTTTAAAATGAGCATAATATCAGTACCAAATGAGCATATGTATGTAACTTATAAAAAAGAGTATTGATATGAAAATCGTAATCTTTGTTAATTGAGCACCAATGCACTTTTATTGAGCATGAGGCCTATTATGTTGAATCGTAGAAGTATAATATTGAGCATATTAATCTCTGTTCCATATCTTTTGATTCACTATTTTTTCTAATTTTTCAGTTTATATAATTTTTTAAATTATATCAATAATCAATTCCAATATTGAGCATCAATTATATGCCCATAAAACCTCTTCATTGAGTATCGTGTTCTCTACTATTATGTATCGAGATTATATGTATTGAGCAGTGGTGCTTTGCAATTAAGTATACAAAATGTTAAAATTTCATTTGAGCATCAAAATATTTTTATTAAGTATTGTATTCACTACTATCGAGCATCAAAACTATGTGCATTGAGCATTGGAACTCTGTAGTTGAGTATCGTGATCGTTGGTCGTCTCACGTCTTCTAATTCACTTTCTTATTTTTATTTTTTATTTTTTTTTTGGAAAATTTTCCTAAATTATATTAATAATCAATTCTTATGAATTCCAGTATGCAAATATACTCTAATATTATACTTTTAAAATATGTAATGACATTTTAAAATGAGTATAACACCGGTATCAAATGAGCACACATAAGTTACAAAATGAGCATCAAAAAATTAAAATACTCAAATGTTCATTTGTATGTGCCAATTTCTTTTAAGCGTTATGCCCATTCAACTATAACATAAACTTTTTTCTATAATATGCACACCTAGTAGATTCATTATTAATAATTTATCAAACTATCATTATATATATATATATATATATATATATATATATATATATATATATATATATATATATAATTAAAAATATAATAATTATACTTCAAAGTAATTTATAATTTTTCATTCTTGAATTAAAAATTCTATTGTATTCTTTTTATAATGTTTACTTGTGCACATTTATTGTAAACACTATACTCATTTTAGTATAACACAAAATTCATAGTAGTAATTAACACACAATATGAAATGATTAACACATAAAATATAATAAACCAATAAATATTCATCTTAAAATAAAAAATAGAAAAATATAAATCTAAAACATTTTATAATGACGAAGTTAAAAAAAGTTATAAAGGAAGGTTGATTTGAAAAGGAATATTTTCATCCTAAAATATCTCTGATACCATGTTAAGACTCGGGGTTCCATCCTAAAAGGTCAACCTTATAGGAGGAGTAACCCGAAGCCTTATATAATGTTTAATTGTTTTATAGCTTTCCGGTGCGGGACAAATGCTTTAACACGTCTCCTCAGCCCGAACCGGGCTAGGCAATATCAGGGTATATAAACGGGCCAAACAAACCCTTAACAAGATACGCTTAATCATGGGTGTTAAACAAGCCGTCAAACAACAACCAGAATCGGCTCTGATACCATGTTAAGACCCGGGGTTCCATCCTAAAAGGTCAACCTTATAGGAGGAGTAACGTCCCAAAGCCTTATATAGTGTTTAATTGTTTTATAGCTTTCCGGTGTGGGACAAATGCTATAACATTATAGTATACATTTTTATAATAATTGAATACAAAATTAAAGCAAAATGTTGTTAACGAAAAATAAAGAAAAAGAAGGGACAAAAACAAATAGAAACACAGACGGCGAAGTGAGACATGGGCACGCAAGAAAAGAAGCCTAACAAAAATAAACAACCTAATAGTTTGTACCATGTAAACACTAGTTGTAGTTTACAACTAGTTGAAACCGGTTGTACCATGTCTTTGATACAACTAGTTGTAGCTTATAGTTTGCTACAAAAATTGATCATTCCCAAAACACATTTTTCATGAAAAACGAGTTACATAAGAAAATTACCTTGATCATTCCCTTGGTATGATCTTTATTACAGAGTATATATTAACTCATATCCAATGCAAACACTACTTAGGTGGCTATGTACATAAGAAGGCACCTTGATTTTTTTTTACCTAAAATCTACTAAAATAAATAGCCAAAATATTTTGGTGTAGTAAAAATTGTTTAATTGGTTTAATAATTTGAACTTGCTTAATTAATGGGTTGAAATAAAAGTATTTGGTGATTTTTTGGTAAAGTGATTGATGATCTGTGTTGTAACCTAAGAGTAAAATTTTTATTATAAAGAAAAAACTAGAAAAGTAGGACATAGTTAAATCTCATTTCATTGTAAAGTTATATAATAACATGCTTAAAGTTTATCAATTAGTCGACCGGTCGACCATTCGACATAGCATCTATCAAGGTGTGACTCTTTTGTTGATGGTTGAATCCAATCAAGGGCCTTTATGGCTGTTATGAGCAATATGAAGCATGAATTGAAAACTCTTGGGAAAAAATATGTTTCATTTTGAAAACTCTCCAAATAGTTTTTGGTTCACGCTTCCCTATGAACCTCACATTTCTATACAACATAGACTATGAGTGTTGATATTAAATTGTTTGCATAATTGAGTAATTGGTCTTAGTTCAGTTCAAGGTCTTGCTCACATGGTAAATGAATTGATGTACCTCACCCTCATTAAATAAGATGAGACTTACGTATGCCACTACGGGGTAGATGGGTCTATTTGGGATCCACTTGAGCAATATCGATAGTAAGCTTGGATATTACTTGAATTTTCCAAAGGAAATGTTTTTAGTCCATTCAAATGGTATAACTTTTCATTACTGACTAATTGCATGCCACAAAATATTACAAATAATGTTTCAAATTTTCTCATGTAATTATTTAAAACATCACTTCTCATGCCTTGTTTAGATTACACAACATTAAGCCAATTCTACTGTATTATTACATTAGGGGATGTGAGATATATCATGTTGCATAGGTTCCTATATATTGTAGAGTGTTGTATCATGGACTACTTCTAATTTACTCCGTATGATATTTAGACATTAAATTGAAGCCAAACTTATCTAATGCATTATGACTACATAATATTAAAACATCAAAGAATAGTGAAATCATGTGTGTTTCTTAGATAGTTGAATGACTTAATAAAAACCATGCAATTCTAGAAAGAATTAAAGAAAATATAGAAATTACTTCAAATAGGACTAAAACTATGGCAAAAACTCAAAATATGACTTGCTATGTTTTTATTCCAAAATAGGACCATAGTGGTCCTATTGGAAACATACTCATTTCTTCCTTCCATTCTTACCCCTCCTTTAAATATTAGTAAAAGATAGCTAAAAGTCATAATTAAATGTTTAATTCATAATAAATCCGAAAAAATTTCAATAATTCGTAGAAAAATAATAAGAAATTAATAAAAAATTTATAAAATAAAAAATAAGAAAAATATTTTTTAATTTTTTTTTGAAAATTAATAAAAAAATAGTAAAACTCCATAAAAAATTAAAAAAATATGGATATCTTTCTCACCGCCTGTACTACCTCCCTGAACCACCACCTCCGATCGGTGTAAAAAATGCCACTTTTTTTAAATTCCACAAAAATGACATATTTCTCTATGAGAATGCCAACATTTTCATTCTGCCAACTTGAATCCTTTTGACTTTTGCCAAAAATATGGCATTCATAATTGTTTTGGCATTTTTTTACCCCGGTGACAGGAGGTGGTGGTACCGCCTCCCTGCACCACCACCTCCGACCGTTAAAAAAAATGCCATATTTCCTACAAACTTCCATTTTTTTCGGAAAATGCCAAAAACATGGCATATTTCTCTTTGATAATGCAAACATTTTTTTCTGCCATCTTAAATCATTCTGAATTATGCCAAAAATATGGAATTCATAATAATTTTAGAATTTTTTCCTCATACGACTAGAGGTGGTGGTGCTGGGGCGGCAGAGGCGGCGGTGACAAAAAAAATTGATTTTTAATTTTTATTTTTTTAAAAAAAATAATTTATTATTATTCAAAATGTTTTTATTAATTTTTTGGTATATTTTACGAATTTTTAATATTTTTTATTATTTTATTATGAATTAAAACATTCCAATAGGTATAAGGGTATATTTGTCCAAGACACACATAATTATTCCTACGGAAATATAGTTTACTTTTTGGTCCTATTTGTGCAAAGTGAATGGCTTTTAGTCCTATTTTGATAATTAACTCAAGAAAATAAGATGATTCTAGGTGGTATCATGATTGTGCACATTAAGGTAGTACATGCACTATGTGCCTTCATCCGCCACACATCTGATCAAGTTTTAACACTTAACCCTTCTATGAATTTGTGTGGGGCATACTAATATTTCATAAAATATATCTTTAGAAATCAAAACAATCATTCTTGTAAATGAAAAGTAATCATATCAATTGAGTACAAATATATAAACAAATCAACCATTGAGTTATGTGTTTTTCTCACTATTTATCTTTAAAAGTTATAATAAATCCAGTTTTTTATGAGAAGAGAAAGTTAAGTGCACATATATAAATGAATTTGGAAATTGCAGGAGGAAGGATGGGTAGTATGTCGTGCATTCAAGAAACCAATTCCAAATAACAACAAACCATTAGGAGGAGGATATGAAGCAATAAATTGGAACATCCACACTCCTGTTTCGAATTACTATATTAGAGACCATAAGAGTTACTCTTATGTAATACCATCATCATCAACGTTACAAGCATCAAGTTCCATTGCCACATTCAACCATAATTTAGTATCAGGTGATAACAATTTCTCATGCAGATTCCCTACTGAGTCCCCACAACACCAACATCCCAACCATGATGATGATGATGGTTGCTATGATCAGAAGATTAATCATGTACTAGAAGATAGCCCGACCACCGCGGTCACCACGGCTAGCCATGAAGATCATCAAGAGGATGGTAACAAGATGAATAATTACTACTACTATGACAATAATAGTAACAATAATAGTGATCATACCATGGGGGTGTTGCCATCTTGTTCGTTTTCGAATATGCCGCTGCTCATGCGAGACGATGACCATGATCACATTAGCCATCTGCTTGACTACTTCCCAACTAATTTATAGCCCAATTGTCCATGAAGCTTTTGTATTATCATCATCATTTTCATCATGATTGTCCCAACAATATGTTATTCGTTGTGGCATGCATGCCATTAACTTTCCATTTATGAGTCTCAACTAAAAGGAACTTACATTGTACTTTTCAAAAGGACATGTGGGTTATTGTTTAAACATTGTTGTTCAATGTTGATTAAAGATTTCAATTGTTCATATCCAACAAGAATTGAGATGCTTTAAATTATATATAATATTGAGGAAGCTATGGTTGGAGATTGGAAAAGGTTGATGTGAAGACTATTATCATTGATTATATCAAATGTTTCATTTGCATGTTTTAATTCTATAAACCTGACATCTACAAAATTGAATTCCTACCTATTTTGATTTATGTTTAGTGTGATTAATTTTATTAATAGTTCATATTTATTAAATAGTTTGCTATGGGAAATCCATGTGCTGATTTTCTTTCAAACTTATATGATTCATGATTTCTCTCATTGAGCCACAAGATGGTCTCTATGCTAATTAGTTGTTGTTAATATATTATTGGCCCAAATGTTATTTTTATATTAATAATAGTTGACATCCTATTTAGCAACCCGCTACACCTTCTATTCTTTGCATCAGACTGATTTATTTCCTATTTTGTTCTCCCGTTTGAATCTTGGTTGAGTTGCATTATTAAGATGTCTATGAGATGTGTGTTTGTGAGGTTGTGTTGGAATAGTCCAACATCCCCTAGCTGCGTCGATCAATAATTCTTCTAATAATTCAAACTTCTCTTCTGTGTAAATAAGCGAACCTGCACTCTTTTCCTTATAGAAATGGAAGAAGCCAGACCGAGTTTCAAAATGTCAGACCCATCTTAGCTTCTTCTTGGAAGTGATTGTCCTCTCTGTGAATCTAGTCTTCTTCTTTGTGCAGCTTAGTGAGTGAGTGCAGCAAGGCTTCCTAGGATAATTGCTCCATTAGCCTAGCTGTGTATACAAAAGACAATTGGAAACCAACCTCTGAGCTACATGAGATGAAACCGACAATGGAATCTATCCCCAACAGTAGCATCAGAGCCTAGGTTTCTGTCGTTGTCGATTTTGCCGGATTCCGCTGTCTGGAGCTACCTGCCACCTGTCTTCGTTGTTTGAAGTCGCTGGAAGTCTGCTCGCGACTTGTCCAAGCTCGACACACCTGAAATTGTTTGTCACAATCTGTGTCAAGGTTTCTGTCTCGTCTGTTTGGTAGTTCGTTGTTGTCCACTGGGAGCCACCGAGCGTAGACGACCATCATTGGAGATTGCTCGTCGTCGTTAACGCTGACTGTGGACGCCTGAAGTGCCTGAAGCTTTGCCGTTCATTGAAGAACCAGAAGTGGAAGCAGGAACTGAGAACCTGGAACCTTATCTGTTCAATTCTAGAAGTTGGATGAAGGCCTGGTTAAAATTGGAGGGGCTCTCGTCAATTAGCAGTCAACTGTGAAGCTGAATGCAGAGAACAAGGAGATAGGTGCTAGGTCAATGCTTGGTCAACGACCAGTGTTCTAGTAAATGTCAGTCAAACTAATCAACTTCGGTCAACAAATAAAAAGATCTCAATTTTAAATTGGGTAAGTAAGGTCGAAACACCTCTCTTAGGGTTTTGCTAGGGGTATATCATCGTGAAACTCCCTTTTATCACTTTTGTGGTGATTCTGGTATTATTGTAGAAATCTGGTGACTCCGGTATTGTAGTTTTTGTTTTAATATTTGCTAAAAATTATATTTATTTGTGCTTGTAAGGAAGAACAAGGGGTTTGAACCGGACCTCGTGTTCATATTGTTATTCCTGGTTGCTCGTGCTAATTTCTCCATACAATTATAGCCCTATAGATACTAAAGTCACATTTTAGTTTCCTTGTGTTTATTTTTAGTGTGTGGATTTAATTAGTACGGTACAACTACATTTAATAGAAAAAACTGATTTAGCATATGGGAACAGAAAATAAAGTGCATATTAATTCAACAGAAATTTTTTAGAGCCATTTGTGAGACCTACTTGACTTTCGATATGGAATAGAAAAAAGTAGAAATGAATGAAAGCGCTTGTTCTATAATTTACTTAATCTTTTTTTATTGTGTGCTCAGAAAAGTAGGAATTTTATAAAATGTGAAATCTTTGTGAGATAAACTTGTAGAGCTTTACAGTAAAACCTTTTTGCCAAGTAGAATGTTCTTGCTTGATTTTTTTTTATATTTAGATTGGACGTGTCTAAAGATATTGAGGAAAATCTAGGTGTTTTCACTAAATTATATCTAATATTAAGTCGTCTGGTGATAAAGACATAGATGATTACACCCCCATTACTTTGTTGAATGTCATCCCTGACTCATATGGTGATGTCAAATCTATCATTAAATATGGTAGAGAAAATTAACTTTGACTCTAGACATTGTAGTTAATGGTCTCAAAAGTAAAGAGTCAAATTCAAAACAATCTGGGGGAAGTAAGAATTCGGGTGAAGTGATCAGTGACAGAACTATTAAGGAGCTCGGGGGTGCACAAGCCCCTGCAGCCATCCGGTTTCTTTATTATATATATATATATATATATATATATATATATATATACCCACGCTACACCATAAAGCATCCTAGCCAGTGAGCCCATGCTTGCAATACTGATGCGGTGCAATGCAATGCAATGCAACTTGGTTTAATGGGTTCATACGTTGCTCCCTGCCTCCCTGGCTCCTGTTGGTTGGATGCTTTATTCCAAGATGAACACGTGTAATGGTCAAGCAATAAAAAGTTTGATATATTAATACTATGGATTTTCTTGCCTGCAACTGCCATGTAAAGTTGAAATTGGGTTGGAATTGTTTTATGTTTTATTACTCCCTCCGTCCTATTAGAAGGTTGCCGAGGGTAAATATCACTATATTTCAGACAAATGATTAAATAAAGTAATTTGAGTAAAAAAGATATGAAAAGGAAAATTTAGAAAAATTAAACATATAAAGTGAAAGTAATTAAAGAGAGATAAGTTGGGGGAGAAAAATTGTGAAACTTGACATGTAATGAGTATGAAAGAAAAATGTGAGTAAAAAATGTAATTGAAGAGAGTAAATTATTTTCTAATATGGAATATGAACCTTTAAATAGAACATTCAAATAAGGGAAGTATGAACTTTTCAACGGAACTAAGAAAGTAATTTTTTATTAGTTGTGAGCATTTACGAATAATAATTATAAAGTCATATTGCATACGGAGTATATACCAACATTTATTATTGTTCTCTAGCCACTAGAAGGTTTTGTATTTTGGAAATGTTGTAACAATTAGGATAACCTTCTTTTAAAAGAATAAAATATAAACAAAATAATATAAAATTCCGCTCGCCTTGCCGGTTGTCGGAGATCTCTGTTGTGCAACAAGCTTGAAAAGCCTAGACGGCAGACGTAACCTCTTCCAAGGCTCCGAGAACGCAGCACTGCATCCTCTTCTGGCATGGACGGTTAACGCAACCTCTTCTGCACTTCCTCTTGCCGCCACGTGCCTTGCTGGAGACTGAAATTTTAGGATCCGGGCAAGCCGCCTGCCTTGCTGAAGAATTTCCCTTTCTTAATATGTGCCCCTGCAAGATCCTAGGGCTGGTTCCGCCACTGGACGAGTCCAAAGAAGAGCAAAATAATTATAATATCATCCGCATAAAGAAGAATATAAATGACTTGAGAACGGTTACGAAAAAAATACGGAGGAATCAGATTTACTCTGAGAAAAACTATGGGTTAAAAGAAGGCTAAAGGGTCAAATAGGCCCTCAACTAACCTAAAAAGTGCAAATCACCCTTTATATAGGAGGCTTTGTCTGGCCATCTCCATTTGGAGAGGTTCCCGGTGGAATTTTTTGATGAAATTTTATGAAAATATTTTTCATTAAGTCTAGTTTACCCATACCAATTTTCAGATAAAAATTCAACCGGGAAGATAGTCAAATGATTTTGTGAAACGTACTGCACTATTTAATTGCCCAGTTATTTTTAAAAATTCATTTGACTGCCTTCCCGGTTGACTTTTTAGCTAAATTTTGGTATGAGTAAACTAGACTTAATGAAGAAGATTCTCAAAAAGTTTTATCAAAAAATTCCACCAGGAACCGCCCCAAATGGCAACGGCCGAACAGAGCCTTCTATATAAGGGGTGATTTGCACTTTTTAAGTTAGTTCGAGCGCCTATTTGACCCTTTAGTCGTTAAAAGAAAGCCACTAAAACAGTGAAATTAAGCCCTTGGAGCTTGTTTCAGGTCATATAAAGCCTTCATTAGGTGACACACATGATGAGAAAACGAGGGACGAATAAAACCAGAAGTTAACGCATATAAACCTCTTCTGTGAGATGACCATGAAGAAACACATTTTTGACATCTACGTTACGAATAAACCAACCAAGAGAGACATCAACAGATAAAACCAGACACAAAGTAGTAGGTTTAACAATAGGACTAAAGGTGTCACTAAAATCTAAACCAGCATGTTGCTTAAACTCTTGAGCAACCAAACGAGTTGTATGATGCTCAACTGAATTATATTTAGTCTTGTAAACTAACTTACAACCATGCAAATACATTTTTAGTGTGGTCCCAAGGTACTAAATCTCATGTCTTATTAGCAAGTAAAACATTAAATTCATCAGTCATGAAACCTAGCCAAATAAAATATTTTTGAGCCTGAGAAAAACAAGTAGGATCATCCAGGGGCGAAAAACACTTACATTGAAAACCATTTTAGGATTAAAAATTACATCTTTAGCACGGGTGTGCATGGGGCGAATATTAACCGGAGGAGGCGAACTTTGGGAAGGAGATGACATCAAACTGTCACTCTGTCGGTGCTGGGAGGGCTGGTCGTAGTAGACGAAGAAGACTGATGAGAAGATGATGGATTGGGCTTGGGGTTTGAGTTCCGTGACACAGGGTAGGACTGGCAATCGAGTAAGCTAGGGGAAGAGGATGAACTAGGGTTAGTGTTGGTGCTGGTAGTGTGGCTAGGAGAGGTTGGGCTGGCTAGATGGTGGTGGCGTGATCGACCGATGTGGGTCTGAAGCGGAGATACGGACGCCAACAATAAAGGTGTGCCGGATGAAGAAGGTGGTAGCCATGGAGATGGTAGGATGCATGGGAGGTACATCAGAAGGTAATTTTTTAGAAGGGAGGAGATGTGGGTAAGGAATACCATTTTCATGAATCTGAACATCCTTGCTAAAGAACTGGCGGAGGAACAGACCGCACAATTTGAGCAGGTGGTACTTGAGCAGGTATCGCGGGT